GTTTTGGATTCTTCAATACTCTATGTAAAAACTGTATTAGGAGTTTTGATTATTAAATATTCGTGATGGCGATGCAGTGCTTTCGCCTCACAGCAAGAAGGTCGCTGGTTCGAGCCTCGGCTGGGTCAGTTGCCATTTTTGTGTAGAGTTTGCATGTTCTACCTGCGTTTGCATGGGTTTCCTCCGGGTGCTCCAGTTTCCCCTACAAGTCCAAAGACATGTGGTACAGGTGAATTGGGTAGGCTAAATTGTCCGTAGTGTATGAGTGTGCAGTGATGTTTCCCAGAGATGGGTTGCAGCTGGAAGAGCATTCGCTGTGTAAAACATTTGCTGGATAAGTTGGCGGTTCATTCCGCTGTGGCGACCCCGGAATAATAAAGGGACTAAGCCGAAAAGAAAATGAATAAATATTTGTGACATTTTAAGGCATTTTACATCTTTCCTCTTCATTAACTATACAGGACACCTACTGGCATTTGAAACAGCCAATGAAGTATTATAGTATTTCAGTACTATATTTCATAAACCCCATCAAATACAAATGACAAAATACTATTTTGTATTAAAATACGTATTTAAAATACATTTATCATAAATACTGCCCATCACTATCTTGAACCATTCAATTCTAGTGTCGGAAGCACAACATGATGGGTAGTTTAAATGATCACAACGTCGTTCTGTGTACAGACAGGTGATTAGGAGTTATTTGAGGTTTAAGATTTGACTTGATAGATCATCATCACTTTGTTGGTGCAAATAACAGTGTGTCGGGTGATTTCGGGTGAAAAAATGGTTTCCACAAGTCGCAATCTTTTGTCCTTTTTTTTGTACCTGCATTGTTTTAGTGGTATTATCCATAAACATATACTGCAAAAAGGTTTATGTACACTCACTAGCTTAAAGGCCTGCTTGACACTGCTCTAAATATTGTTGAAAACAGACAAATTCAAAATGACTTTGTTTATACCTGTATTTAGCGCTTTCAGCAGCATGTCCCACAGTGTTTAAGAATTAGGTCAGTAGGCAGAGAGGAGGCCTTTAGTGGCTGTTCAAACACATTCAACCTCATGAGTGCTTGCACAATGAAAACAGTCCGGCCAAATGTATTTTTGAATGCCTCTAGAAGGGGTGAAAAGTGGACAAGTTCAAAATGATTCACACCTCGTTTACACCTTTATTTAGTGTTGTCCGTTTGTGGTTTTATCATTATTATTTTAATAATATTGTTTTGTTTGGTTTTAAAAACACTCTAAGAGAACGTGTTTTACATTTAATGTTTGCTAGGAATATCTTGACTACATTGAATCACTCTCTGCCTGACCCAAATTTCATTCGATAAGATTCAGATCAACCTCCTGGTCATCTTTCACCTCTAGAAATGGATTGTAATGTCATGCAAGGCTTATGGGTAGTTTACAGTCTTGAATAACATTGAGATCCAGCTGTCTCTGTTGTAAATCTGCTGTCAGCAAGGTTACTTTAGGTTTACTAACCAATGGTGATACACTCCTGATACACTTAGTTCTCTTCTTTTCACAATATCATTGTTTTGAAAATGACCTTGTGAAGATGTAGGTAAAAAAATATCCGTATATATTTCGGTCAGATATTACAATATTAGTTACACCATATTAGTTTATGTGTTTTCTGACATTAACTATAGTATAAACAATACTTGTGAAGCATTTGAATCTTAGTTAATATACTGACTCATGCTTTTTTATACTCTTGTTACAGAGTTGTTATTTATGCGAGTTAACATGAAGTAACAATGAACAACTGCATATTCATTAACTAATGTTAGCAAGCATGAAGTAATACTGTAATAAATGTATTGTTCATCGCTTGTTCATGTTAGTAAATGATATTAACTAACAATAACTAATACAACCTTACTGTAAAGTGTAACCTAGGTTTCATTTGTGCTGCAATGAGTGCATTGAGGCCATTTTGCTTGTGAGTAGCCTGGTTGTGATTAGTGTGTCTGCTGGTATTGGATGTGTGCACACAAACGCTTGTGGACTTTCTCTCTCTCTCTCTCTCTCTCTCTCTCTCTCTCTCTCTCTCATACGCACACACATACACACACAGCAGGTTTCACAGACATATGCATCAACTCTTTTCTTAGTTGTCTTATTTCTGAGAAATTCATAGGTAAAAATTCCCCACAACCCCAAAATGACACCACAATTTCTTTTTTAAATTAACACGTGGCACATGATCTTTTTTTTCTGAATCTTTGATCATCAAGGGGGAAACCCATCACCCGCTTGAACTGGAAAAAGAACTTTTTAAAACCACATTTATAAATGCATCATCATGCCAGTGACCTCACAGGAAATCAAGGTTTTTCTAAAAAGTGCAAAACAAATAATGGCTTTATTTTAAAAACTAAGCAAGTGAACAAGTACTGTAGTTTTAATTTTTTAGTTATTTGCTGAGTTTACAAAGATATTCCGCCGATTTCTCTTTAGAGTTCTAAAAACTTGACAGTACAGTGCCAGCCATGTGCCGCGGGTTTAATTTAGATAAAGTCTTTTAAATGCAGACGTTCTGGAGAGGATCTAAATTGGTGTGGTCAATGTGCTGGCTTTCCAATGAGTTCCTTCGTCCGTGTAAGTATGCTTCTCTACCTAACCGTGTGACTGGGTTGTGAGGTAGTGTTTGTAAACAGAGCGAGCATGTGCGCTTACGCACGTGGAGTTCACTCTTCATTTGATGCCCTTGTAAATTCAGTCCAAGATTAAATTGCTGCAACAATACATACACTAATACCTCCTCAGTTTGCGGCGTAGCTAACATCAAACATTTACCGACTTTAATACTTTAAACCATGAGACAAAGATATGGCGTTATTATCTAGCTTTAGCAATAATTTGCACTTAAAGATTTGCAAAACGGCAGGTAAGGGAAAAACAAGTTATAAAGTAAATTGCCATGCTTTAGTAAGTTATTATATTTAAAAAAAATAATGTTCCTTGTACAGTTTGGTGAATGGCTAAAGTCAAACATTTACTAGCTTATTTAAAGATGAGACAAAGACATGGCTTAATTATAGTGACTTATTACTCTTACTAAATAAAGTGAAATAGTTACAATGCAGTATTAAGTTATGAAGTAAAAGACTGTTGTGGGCCAAGTGTTGTAATAAGTTATGTAAATTATATGCTATTTTTATGAAAAACTAAAAATTGTTATTTATCTATTCATATCAACATAAATATTTTTTACTCACAATTTGTAAAATATAATTATATAATTATATAATATAATTATAATTTATAAAAAACAAATCACGTGAACTATTTTATCATTGAAAAAGTATTTACAAAATATTGAAACATGTTCTTTGGTTGGATTGGAAGTTTATACAGTATAAAGGACACTGCACTTGACTCTTTCCGGGTTCCTTCATTGTTGTTTGTGTTAGCATTCGCACCACCTTTCTGTTGTGTTTATTGACAACACTCAATAAAGCATCCCCTTGCAGGCATGGGTTAACTTCCACACTTCTCAACAGAATGTCAGAATACACAACCTAAATACACAAAATAAGGGCACAGGACTTTTATCTGTATTATGATGCAAATTCTAATAGTGCTGTTAAAATCAGTTAAGCAAAGGTGGCGTTTGCAATTCATTAGCACTGATAAAAGAGTGCTGTTGTTGTCTTTTGTAACAGTTGGCTTAAGCTAATACATTTGATTGCTGCATGTCAAAAGCAACAGTGATGTCAAAAATGTATCTGAAAAATGCAGACTTCATTATATACAGCTTAATATTGACTTTATTAAATCAACGGCCAAATTTTAATTTAATGTCAAACATGCAAATGTTCCAGGCAACTATGACCCACCATGGACTCTGAATATAGTAACACTTTAACTTAATCAGTGTATTAATTAACAGTGAAAAGTAACATTTTACACTTTTTGTTAAAAATACATTTATAGTTCAATAAAAATCATTGACTTTTGATTTTAATAATTAATACATTTCACATTTAAATATGATTAATAAATGTTTTTTTTTCAAGTATTTAACAGTAGACTTAAAATTCTGAACAAATTGAACCAAGTTGGTACAGCAAAAAAACACTTAACATTTAAGAAACAAACAAAATAATGGTTTTGGTGTACAAATTAAAGTGGATATACTATTAATGTCAGTCAAGGCAAAAATTCCTCTCTCCAGTGGCCCTCATCTAATGGTGTTATGGGGTTGGGTTTCAGTTCTTTTTAAGCTTCTGACCTTGTGGGGTTCCACCACTCTGGTCTTCTGCTTTTTTTTTTTTTTTTTTTGCTAGCCTTTGTGTCTGCTTGTCATTCACTGATGAATGCAACGAAAGCAAGGAGCTCTAATATTCCTGGTCAAACTCCCACATTGACTTAATGCTCATAACAATTGAAAGAGAAATTTAAAAAATAAGAATAATGTCATTGTAAACCTTGACCAATTTAAAGAAAGGTGTTTTGTTCTGTGAATAAATATTAAAGCAAACTTATTTTCACCTCCTTTTTTTGTAACTGCACAATACAGATGCCGGTGGAGACTGAAGAGATAAGATAATTTTGTTAGCAGTGTGACTGTTTAGTCTTGCTTCCAGCACACAAGATGCATTGAGAAATAATGCCTGAAGAAGAATTGGCCAACAGCCTCACAAAGATCACTATTTTTTTCAGAGCAGGCACATTCCTAAAGCTGTCTACCGCACATTATCTTAGATAAAAAAAACAACAACAAAACAAACGAGATTTAAATGCTTAAAATACTGTTGGTTGCTGTGAGCCAACACACACAAAAAAAAGAAACAGGGAGGGAGAAAGAGAGCCAGAAAATGTCAGCCATGTTGGTGAAGCTTTATCTAATATCCTTTCATTATTATGTCAACTCACGGTTTTTAAAAAGACAGTACAATGCCAACCAAGAGATGGAAGCCATAAAAAGACCCCGAGGGCCAGAGGGAAAAGAGCACGAACAGAAAAATACTCTCTCACCTTGTTTCAAGTCCCTCCACTTTGTAGAATTCCAACAAACCGTCTAGGTCTCCTCTTAAACAAATCCTAAAGGGCAGCCATCTTGCTTCCTTCTGTTCAGTCTATGAAACAGACTACCTCCATATCAATATTCATGGGCTGGTCTGACGTCTGCTTTCATCATCAGCAGCAGAAGCCCTGCGTTGCTGTTGGCTTTCAAAGCGCGTCCAGACGCAGCCCGTAAACACACGCTTACTCTTGTATGTGCTTGTAAAGGCAGAACAGAGTGAGACAGTCCAGTGTGCAAGTGTGTACATAACAGAGGAACTCAGCCTGCTTTGCCGGCAAGCTGAAGTAATTGCAAAACCACTTTCCTGCTGGGTCCTCTCCACACAAAGAAACTGGGTTTCTTTGCTTCCCCCTCCTTTTTTGCTCTCTCTCTCTCTCTTTTTTTTTTTTCCAGCCGCACACAATAGTGCACACTTTACTGGCTGCCCTGAAGCACCGAACTGGATTGCACAGTCCATGTCTTCGGTGACCAATGGAAATCAAAAACTTACTCACGTCATACTTATTAATTCTGAAACCTTTCTGTTAGTCTTTCTCTTGATCATAGATCAGATCAGTGCCTCTCCTTTTGCAAAGCCTTGATGAGCTTGGGCTTATTTTAGCACATAGTGGTTTGGGGCTGTTTTTAGACCAGATAGACAACACTTGAAAACTCTGAAGAGTCCATTTTTCTCTGATACGTAGGAGCAGAACAACCCTGTTAAATTTGTCACTGAGAAATTTGCTATAAAACGATATTTGGACTAATGCTCAGTGTCTTCTGTACTTTAGTAAGTTCAAAGCTTGTCATTTAACGCTCTGGCCCCTGTGTGCAGTCATGTACATGTGAAAGCTAGCACTGACTCTTCTCCTCCTCCACGCCACGTTTAGAGCTTTTAAACATCCCTTTTTTTGTTTCGTCCAAATTTTAACAGGTGTTTCTTGTAGAGTCTGCCCTTGGCTCCTTTCCAGTTGTGAAAAGGAGACCCCACCTCTTTCTTGTGGGCTGCAGCCTGACTAGAGTGACGTTTGTTGACTCAATAGTTTCAGGCAGAGAGCAGAAAAGGAGATTTGTTGTTACACCGCATGGAGGAAGGGCAGTGGGGGAAGGCAAAGCAGGCTTGCATGAGCAGTAATCACCAGAACTGGCCATTCCACATAGATTCCACATAGAGCGCATGCTTCATAATTGTATCCTCCAATCAGTTTTGGTGGAAGGAATAGGCTTGAATATAATAGTTAGCGAAGAATATTTCAGTGCATCCACCATTTTTTTTAAAGAAATGTAAGTGACTTGTTTTTGTCAACTTTCATTGTTTTATTTATTAAGACATTGTAATAGCTACTGAATAACACATTTATATTATCGAACTTATACAAACAATACTGTTACTACAAGCTAAAAAAGAAATACATATATAATTAATTAATTCATTTTCTTTAATTAGTCTCTTTATTAATCTGGGGTCGCAGAATGAACCCAACTTATCCGACATATGTTTTAAAGAGTGGATGCCCTTACAGTTGCAATCCATCATTGGTGAACAGCCATACACACTCATTCACACACACTTATTCACACACATACACTACGGCCAATTTAGCCTACCCAATTCACCTATAGCGCTTATCTTTGGACTGTGGGGGAAGCCCACGCAAACACGGGGAAAACATGCAAACTCTACACAGAAACGCCAACTGACCCAGCCGAGGCTTGAACCAGCGACCTTCTTGCTGTGAGACCAGCGCTTTCTACTGTGCCTCCTTGCTGCCCACATATAAAATTGAATTACAAATATATAAATATATATAAATATAAATATGTCTTGGTCTCTCTGGAATTGCAATAGAATTTTCCTTTATTTGGAGATTCAAAAACACTTCTGGGGCAAAAAGTTCATATTCCTATTTTAACAGACGCATGAAGACACTACGATCACAACCAAATTGCCCTTGTTGTAAATACAGATGGAAGTATGGTCTAGAACATTTTGATCTTGTCTACTTTCTTCCACTTCCGTAGACAACTGAAAAAGCAAATTCCTTGAAATACTCTTGGTTGGTGCAATCCATGAAAAAGCATCATAGTGTAAGCTATGATTACATTAATCATAGTATAAACATTCAACTAAGAATAAGTTCATACTGCAACACCAATAAAAAAAAAAAAAAAAAACTCATCTGATCTTAGATTTGAGTGAGATAGGATGTGTTGTGGCAAATATATCAAAATAGTGTCCAGCAATCTTGTTAGAAGTTTGATTCTAAGGGCGTACGCACACTATTTACAGTTGCCTTGAACTAAGCCAAAGTATGCTTGTCCCCCTCCCGTCTCACCCGACAGCTTGCACTCACATTATAATCGGGCCTGGGAACGCATACGTCATCGATGATGCGCTGTTTAGTAAGCGCTTTCACTCAGCACAGTGGAGATTTCTTTAGTTATATTGTTTTAGTAGTTTGACATGCAGTGACACAAAGTCAAATATTTCGCAGAACAGATCAGCCACTTTTGACGCTCATAAACAATCATAAAGTCCTCGTGATGCAGGAATTAGAAGGTTTGCTGAAGGTGCAGCTGTGGTGAAATGAGGGGTTTGCATCTTTAATAATCCACGACAGTTTGTGTTCATTGAACAGTAAGAATGATTAATAAATCCAAATGAAACAGTCCCGTAAAAGTCACGTCTCGTCTTTAGTTATGGGATCTGCCACGCTTTGCACTCAATCTATAAGCGTACCACACCAAAGCCCAAGTGAACCGCGCTCTGGCACACCTCTTTCAACCAGAGCAGGGCCGGCCAAGTGAATTTTGCCTAAGCCCGATTTTGAGCTCTCACACTTTTCAAACGTTCCGGAAAAACGGGCCTGGGCACGGTTCAGATAGCATAGTGTGAGTAGGCCCTAACTGTAGATCACCTGCGCGAAGTCATTGCTGTTGCCCAAAATGGATGATGATGTTCTGCACACTTCTTTGTTCAGAGCTCTGAACGTAGATTAATATTCCATCAGATGGCTTTTAAAGCTTGTTATGGCTGTATATGCCCTGTTTGTGTTTGTCAAGCATTAATTTTATAAGAGTAATCTTAAGCAGGTTGCACTCAATCCATTTTAAAACACAACAAACATTGCATGGAGGGTAATGTAATCAAAATAGATGTTTGACTGCAATCATGAATTCAAATGATTTAAAGTCGGGTGTAGGCAAATAATAATAATGATAATAATAGTAATAATAATAATAATCATAATAATCATAATAATCATAATTAACTTTGACTTTATTGCAACAAGCTTAGTGGCCACAAGAAAAACATTTAAATTCCAGGTGGAAGTGTTTCTTGGTTGACCACTTAGTGACGCATCACAAAAAAACGTAATAATAGCTGGAGGAATCATGAGGAAGTGGCTAATGGCCTACTCACACTATGCCATCCGTACCCTGCCCGGGCCCGTTTCCCGGATCGTTTGAGAAGTGTGAGTGCGCTGAATCGGGCTCAAGCACGGTTCACTTGGCCGACCCTGGCCCGGTTGGAAGAGGTGGGCCTAAGCGCGGTTCACTTAGGCTTTGGCACGGTACGTTTGTAGTGTGAGTGCAAAATGCAACAAAGCCCGAAACTGAAAGCGAGACGTGACTTTTAAGGGACGGTTTCATATGGATTTATTAATCATTCTTACTGTTCAGTGAACGCAAACTGCCGTAGTTTATTAAAGACTCAAAGACCTCTCACTGCACGACAGCTGCGCACCTTCAGCAGACCTCCTCATTCCTGCAGCATGAGAGCATTATGATTATGAGTGCCAAAAGTGGTGGATCTGTTTGGCGAAATATCTGACTGCGTGTCACCGCATCCCTAAGGACTGTTTGGCGAAATATTTGACTGCATGTCACTGCATATCAAACGACTGACACGATATAACTAGAGAAATCTTGACTGTGCTACTGAGTAAGAGGCCTTCTCACTGAATAGCGCAGCAGCGATGACGTAAGCGTGCCGAGGCCCAATTGTGGTGTGAGTGCGGGCCGTCGTGGGAGACGGGAGGGGGGACAAGCATGCCTTGGCCCAGTTCGAGGCAACTGTACATAGTGTGAGTACGACCTTAGACACAAAGGGCCCTATCATACACACGGCGCATTGTGTCGCAAGACGCAGCGCAATAGTCTTTTGGTAGTTTCAGTTTGGCGCAATAGTCGTTTTGATGCGTTGCGCTACGCTATTTAAATAGCAAATGCATTAGCGCTCATTTGTGTGCCCATAGGCGTTCTGGTCTAAAAAGGAAGGCGTTCTGAGGCGGACTGCTGGCGCGTTGCTATTTTGAGAAACTATAATAGATTTTTCATTAGACCAAAACTTACCCGGTCTAAACTCCGGCGTAGAGTTGCGCCTCGCTTACACACTGCTTAATACGCACAAGAGAGCAATAGGCAAATATCTTTACATATGAAAAAAATTTAATATTAAGGATATATATAGGATATAATAAGAATAGATATAGGATATAAATATAAAGGATTAAAATATTACAAAACATTATTTTCTAGCCTACATAAATATGAAAAATCACTGCTTTTATATCTTCTTCATCTAGGGAGGCTTTTTCAGTTCATTCATAAAAATTTGCTTTTGTATGTTATTATTATTAGTAGTATTATTTAATATATCCATATTTATATTTGTTTTATTAAAAACAAGCTTAGATTTGCCCACCTGTCAGGTTTTAGACCATATGGGGCACAGCAGGTGTTTTTGGAAATAACTCAGTATTTTGACCACACTTGGTTATTATTGTTCATTTATTCGTTTGCTAGAAATTAGAACTGAATTTAGAAATAGTTTTGAAACAAATCTTTGCGCTTAACAAACAAAATTAATCACGCAAAGCGAATTTTCCCGTCCGTAAATTAGCAAAAATGCGTTCTGACACGCCCTGAAATCGTTTGCACCCTGCGTTTTGCGCTCTGCGCATGGACCGTCAAAATAGAGTCCAAACATTGCCACAGCCATGCTACCCTGCATCCCAAGACTGGTTAGTCACTAAAAGGCCCCCTTTACACTAGTGCGTTTTAGTTTTAAAATGAAAACAATCTGCGTTCACACTAGCGTTTCACCCAGCATTTCTGAACAGCTCTCCGTCTACACCAAAACACTAAAAACGCACATCACGTGACCACACACACACTCTGCCATTCGCTGCAGCCTATCTAGCTAGATGAGAGCTGTGCTCGTCGGAGTGTTCATCAAGAATCTCCCGCTGGATCTAATCTCACTATATTTGTTAATCGTGATATTTAATTCATCTTGTTGTCTATATCTAACAACATATTCTCCGACTTTGGTCTTTTGAATATACTACTTGTTCTCGGGT